CTTGGGTAATGGACTCCAGCCGACAAAGGGTTTTATTTAAATAACTCGCGGCAGGCGAAACGGCCTGTTCGAAAATCCGGGGACGCGCGAGTAGTGTTGCACCCTCTTATTATTGCTCTTGTCGTCACGGGCCAGACCAACTCTTACGTTCGCTCGAATATCAGCGAAACGATTCTTCAATTACTTTTCCCTATGATTTTTTCGTTTATTTCAATTATTAGCGTATCTGACGCGAATCAATATTCTATTTGTGAATCTGAAAATCTAGAGAGAGCTGTAGTTATTATTTAAGAAAGATAGACTATGTTTTTAACGTAGCTTAATTTCAATTGTTATCGACGTAACAATATTGTGAGATTTAATGTTGGAAATGGATCACGATGGTCATAACTGTCTAATATCTGTATAAAGGAGGCCCTGTTTTTTTTTCTTTTTTTTAATTAAAAATGATATAAGCGACAAAATAGTAGTGTAAAGTTGGACGATTTTTTTAAATTATTTCATATTACCTTTCAAAAATTATTATCTACTTAATCGCATCGTTATATTCTATTATTATTGTCTGTGATTCAAATCACCAAACAAGGATATCCTTTAATAATAAAATACGAGATGTAACATTTAACTATTAAATCTCGTCTAACAAAAGAAACAAAATCCTACAAATGAATTTTACAAATTACAAATTCATCTCTGAGCTTAAAATAAAATTATAGGTAACTTGTGAAAGTTTCGAAAATATTTATATGCAACAGGTGTTTGTCATCCAATCTGTCACTTAAAAACTTACTAATATCATTATACCTATATTTCTATCGATTAGTTCTAAACGCCAAGTCAGAAACTTATCTAAATAGGCGTGTAGGTAATTTAAATTCTAAGGTTGATTCCAGCATTTCGAAGCGAGCAGCTCCGTTTGTTTGGAGCCGCGAACGCATTAAAAATTCTAATGGCGGCGTACACGCATCGACGCGGTTTTTCTCACCTGGTTTAACATAACAACGAGGTCGGTCACGTGTTGCACCGCAGAACAACCAGAGAAATCCCTTCGGTTCTCCCATTTTCGTGCAGCGAGCACCGTCTGGGAAACAATGTGTGTTGAAAATCGGTGTGGCCCTCGCCACAGGCGTCTTTGACAAGCAGACTGATGTCGGTGTATCACTCATCAAGATTTATCGAGACTTAGACTAATTGCCGCTTTTAATAGAAATTCGTGCGGCCTTACAGAGGGACTACTTAGCGGTTCGACCCTTCCACGAGGGCCTTTTCTCACTTTTCTTTTTCGTTTCTTATTTTTTTCCCCCTTTCTTTTCTTTTCTTTTCTTTTCATCGCGTTCCAAGTCAAACCGACACGGTGAGGGAAAAAAAAGTTGATAAAACGAACGATTATCGTGTGTAACGCGAGAGGAATCACGTGAAAAATTGACCGACGCATCGTTTAGAAACCGGGATGCTTCTCGGGGCTTGAGGATCTGTTTTAGTACTTCAGCTCGATTCTATCGTTCGTCGTCTCACTGTTTCATTTAATTCCATGTATTTAGAATTATTTCGTTATTCTCATTTCTCTTATTAATACTAAGCTACGGATTTTTGTTGGTTTTTTTCAGAAATTTCAATAATAGGACGAAGTTTGAAGGTGTCATAACCCAATAGAGAAACGAGTCGAACTTTTCGTTCGAGTCTCTAGCTTTTCTGATAGCAACAGACTTCTTGAAAACCCAATTGCACGATATGAATGTAGCAAGCACAATGGAAATAAATTTATATTGCAGTTTGTTGAAAGATAAAATGTATAACACGACGAATACTCCTTTCGTGTAAATGACAATTAATTTTCACTTGGTTACTAACCAACTATAAATCGCAAGACCATCGATAGAAACAAAACTCCCACGCTCCAACAATATCGCGAATCAAACTCTTACAAACATACCGTAATCCAGATAAAATCAAAAACACCGATCCACTGGCAGGACAAGCTACTCCGGTCGTCCATTTCGACATTTGCTCCATTTAACGCGAGGAAAAAGATGCCCATTGTGGAATCATTGAAATCGTAGACGGTGCATCGGATGCGAGAAAAAGGTGTTGCGAACTCTTGTTAGTTCCGTATAGTTTTCACGTTGCGTAGAGAAAACGCGAGTTCGATGTTTCCACGTCGGGGGTTTCGGTATTGTTTAGGAACCGGTAAATTCGGCGTGAAGCGCGGTCGAGTGTCGAAGGATCCTCTTGCTCGCAGGAGAAAGTTCCTCTTGCTCGATCGGAGACTGCGCAAGGTCAAACACGGGGCCAAACGAGTGGACTAAATCTACACGCTATAACGCGGAGGAAATTGATTAGCCGATTTCGGTGGGATCGATAGCCGGTTCCTCTGCTGTCCCATTGTCGTCGCTGACAAGCTTGCTCGCTCCCTGTAGCTCGAAACGCTTCTTTTCACCAGAGAAATGAATCTGTCCAGTCATTTGTGCCTTCTGTCCTGGCGTTTTTTCTTTTTTTTTTTTTATTCCCTGCGACTTTATTTTTCTTAGCTGGAAAGGATGGTGACGAGGTAAATTTTGGAGTGGAAATTTAATAAAGAGATCGAGGATGAATCAAGCTTGTTTTCTGTCTTACAATTTTTATTTATTTTCTCGCTGCATTGATTACAGTTAGAACAAACTATTTTTGTGTAAAAAGTTCTTGCATAGTTCGAAAATTTATTTATTTATTTTGGAGTAAGTCGGCTAAGTTTCAATAAGAATTCAGGAAGTGCAATAGATACCAAAGATACAGTAACGTCATCATCGTGCTAATGTCATTGCTTAGAATGAGGAGGAGTTAAATAATCCAATATTATCCAATATTGAGAAAAATATGTTTGTTTAAAAAGAAACTGATAAAGGAATAGACTCTCATGCACACAAGACTCTCCTGCGACTCTTAATTCCACAGCAATTAAATAATCCCTGAAGATCTAATTTTATCAAATTAAAGAAGAAAGCTTCAAAAAAAAAAAAAAAAAAATCGTCACAGCAATATGAAATAACTCTGAACTAAACGCACATAAATTAACTGGTTATACATCCTCGAGTGAAGTACCTATTCATTTCTATTATACAAACCAATTGTCACGAATCATCGGGGTATCTAAATCATAAATCTCCCGAGAGTTTCGAACAGAAGATTAGGATACTTTGCAAGCATCCGTGTTCAGAGTGTCCTTCAACAGGTACCACGTTGCTGCTAAGACGAGGACATTACGGTTGTTGCTCATGTTCGTTCATTTCGCAGGACCTCCCGCTGCCTGTTGTTCGTTTCGCTACCGTACGGAAAGATTTACAGACAGAGCGGTTCGGTTCTTGCATGGAAAGGCCTTCGTAAAAATTTATACCGGTCCATCATGCGTTTCATTATGACTTTACATTCAGACAGTGGCGGCCGTAAATATTGCCCGTTTCCGAGCAACCGGAACTCCTTCGAATAAAGTCGAACGCGACGGGGGTTCAAATTGAAATTTGTCGATGAAACGAGTGTCACAAAACGATTTTGAATACTTGAAGAAACTAGAAATTGATCTTTTTGTTAGGAAGCAATTAGCTCCTGCGTCTAACTTGTGTATTTTCGAGGGACAAATAGGTTGTACAATGACACTACCGATGATACTCGTGTAGTAAAATTTAAATAATTTGTATTATACTCGACAAGCGATGTTCGACTGAAATTCGGTTCATATAAAGGTGAAGGAGTTGCTTGTAACGACAACTTGACAATTTTTTTTACGAGAATGTAACTTCCATTCGTCGAAAGGCTTAATTTTAACATCCCCTGATATCGTTGTATTGTCTCTCGAAGTTATTTTGTTTCTTCGACTCTCTTACGACTCTGACTAACTGTAGAGTAACAGTAACATCAAGCTGTCGAAAGAGAGAATTCCAAAAATCTATTGTGTAGCATTGTCGCTCGCGTTAACTGCACGATTATGATGCTACGAACAGCAGAACGGAGAAACGTCAACTCGACTCCCTTTAAAAAACACACTCGAGATCTCGTAATTCCAAACCTACGTCCCATCAAACTCTCGCTCCGCGTAATCGGGCACGCTAGATCCACGGTTCAAACCCGTGCCAAGGTATACCGAGCTAAATCACCGACATATTTCATTGCACCAACCACCTTCGTATCTGCACCTTCTCCTCCGTGCACGATCTCCATTCAGAGAATGCCGATTCTCCCTGCCCGGGAGAAACAGTACGCTCGTTCCGTGTACGCGTACGCGTACCTCGGCAAAGCACAGCCAGGGACCATATCCCCGTCCCGTATCGCTAAAACGAGAAAATGAAAAGAAAAGAAGCTTTGGTGAACATCCAGTGAACGTCGGAGCGCAGCACCGTAGGCGTTTCTGCTCCGAAGAACGCCCACTGGAAAGCAGACTCTTGCCAACCAAGTAACAGGGCGTAACCATTTGGATAGGACCCCACTGGAATCTCTCGTTGTTAGTCCCAACGGTCCCCCTTTTTTCCAGCGTAGTTACGATGGAAAAGAGAAAGAGACAGCCACCCGTTGCTCTCTCTCGCCGAGGGAGCCAGTTGGAGGGACACGAGGGGACCGGTGGCCCAACTGACACGTTATTGCAGCGGTACCCCTCGCAACGAAAGCCACGCGTGCTACCTGCTTGTTCCTTTTTCTTGTCCGTCTCCGTACCCGGACACCAACAACCCATTTACACCCTTCCCAGAAGCCAGTTTTTCCCGTCTATTTTCCCTGGTTTTCCCTCCTCGTTCATCCTCTTCCGTTTCGCGTCCTGACCGCGGAGGTTTTTGCTCTGGCGTTCGGTCCTGCCTCGGTGTCCCCTTTCATCTTTCACGCCAGCGCGTGCCCTGCCCCCATCGCGAGAGGCCGACGTGCCCCGTGTCTGTCCTCCTCGTTCTCCACCTTCGCCTCGTTTCCGTTCGAGCGGTCGTTTTGTCCAAGCAGTCGTTTTGCCTCGGGCCAACGGTGCCGGCCTCGTGCTTCTACCTCGTGCGTGTCCTTTCCCGATCAGTGAAAACGGATAATTGTGTCGGTGTCCGCCGGTTTGAGGATTGAGAAAACAAGTGAGTCGAGACGGAAGTAACTGAGGGATCGAAGCATGGACGTTACCAGTGGAATGAGGCCCATCTTCGGAGGATATCCGTTTCAAGGTTGGTACCCGGTCCGTGTGAAATAGGGTGAGAATGTCTTTCGTTAGAATTTTACTTGATCCTCCATAGGTAACTCGAGTCGTTTACACCTTGCATCGTGAATATTTATCCTTTTTTGGAGAAGCTTTCAAATATTTGACTTGAATATTGAGTGATTATATAGTGATATAGTAAGCACTTCGTTAAGTAAGTTAAATTTTTTTTCACATTTTTTTGGAAGTTTAGAAAGTAAAGTAAAAGTAATTTAATTTTTTTATAAATAATGCGATATTTGTTCACGAGGGGTTGATAATGGAAAGAGGTTTTGGAGCTATTTTTTGGATTACAAAAGGTTGTTTTTGATGTCAGGTTGAATGGAATTGGGATTGAAGCGTTACGTGGTATTCTATTTTGCTAAGGAACTTCGAATTTTCGAAAAGATTGAAAAAGGTTGAATAATTTCGAATTATTGCTCGGAACGTGAAAGATTGAAGTTTGAAGTATGTGTGAAATTTAAATAATGTCACATGAAAGAGAATTTTGAATTCTTGTTAGATACTTTTTAAGGGATGAAGAGAGTATTGTCTCTCGTAATTTTTTCTAAGAGATTAAAAGGAAAATAGGACTTTTTTGTAAATACATAATCTTAAAAGAAATTATTAATCAATTTAAATTATTATTTGTTATAGAAAAATTATTTATTATCTTGCAGTGACTGAGTATTTATTATGTGTAGGTAGGACTACAATTGCCTATAAATTTCGAGAAATCACTAGTTTTGTAATAGAATTGAAGCAGAAATAGAATTCATAGAATTTACGAATCATTTGTTGTTCGACACGAGTTTATTGATCGCTATAAATACCTATGGTATAAAGAAATTTTAGAGGAAATACTTACGGCATTTTTGAACTGACACGCGTGGTAGTTTTTACGATCTTGTTAAATCGAGACACGTGAGTGGTAAAAGAGTAATAAAGACAGTTGAAAGGATGTAGGTAAAAAAAATCAGAAATCCTTGTTAAAAAACACATTCTGAAAGAATTGTTTTTAAAGCAATTTCGTTTTCTTCCATTACACATCATGCAAGACTCGTCATTCGATTCAATTTTCAGTTTCTTTGAAATTGACTCGAATGTGATGACAAGGAAATGGATGGCCAATTTAAAAAATGCAATATTTACTTATTTTACACATCACGCATTTATAAATTAATATTTATAATTAAACATCGTATTTGCAATTGACGGTATTAATTACGAAATTGGATTATCGTTACTCGATGAACAAATCTCGCTGATGTCAAAATAACATCGTATCGAATGAATAATGATCTCAAAGAAACAATTATTTATATTCGACACTACAAATCACTTCTGTCATGAGATATGATGAATGTTAATCCGTATGCAAAGATCATTTCCAACTGCCTCTCTGCGCATGCTGCTACGTCTTCATAAATGCATATTGCCTAAAGGAGTTCTCAGTGGATTAATAATAAACCAAATATCTCGATCTCGAATATTGGACAACACGTTAAATCGAGAAAAATCTGAAAACTCTTTTTAAAAAGTGAATGAAAGGAAGGAGTCCCCTCCCCAACAGAAAATGATCCTATAACAAAACCCTGACTATATCAAAACATTTTGCAAATAATTTAAATAGACAATTACCCGGTTGCTTGTTATTTTTAAAAGATTATCCGACCAGTGTGTATTAATTTGAACGAGGGATTACTTTATTGTTTTTCGAACCTACAGTTTTGTAAAATAAACGTATCCAGTCAGGGAAAAATGGGAATGACTATTTCGACAGTGAAGAAGGTGAAAGGAATTTATGTGACGTTTGTACGACACGTGCAACAATATAAAGAGTTGGTTCAACTAGGCGCGTAGCTTCTCTCATTCAATCGGAAAATGTACAAGATACTTTCTCGTATCATTACGCCGTCGTAATTTTGATAAATTCATTTCACCGCCTGTTGCGATCACGCGAAGAAATCGCGACTTAATGCTGTGTACAGTGATTGCTTGTGGCCGACGTTGCTCGATAAATATTCAATGTTCGATCACTCAGAGACGTTAATTAGCATTTGTATTGTGTCATTACAAAAAAACATCGCGAGATAGAATTTCAATTTGATCATCCCGTTAGAATTCTTGTCTCGTAGACACTGTGTAACATCATATGCTGTCAAATATGCCGATTAAGTTTCGAAACATACTCGTAATTAGACTGCAAGAAGTCTGACATTATTGTTTTAAAAGATTTTGTAAAAAAATAGTAGTAGGTATTAATTATTTGACGGTAGTATCTAAGATTTATATATTTCTAAGCGGAGAAATGAAAATTATTATCATTTTCATATGATTGCGGATCTTTAGACATTTTTAAATCCTTCTGGACTTAAGCTTTATCTAAAACTTAATAGATACTTCTTTCGTCTGTTAAATATTATAATAAGTATTTTATTTTGGATATTTTTGCATAGTGTATTTTTGTATTTCTAAATTTCCGAAAAAATCATAAAAATCCGCAGCCTTTTTATATGTAATTTCTATCAGAAATTTAAATTTTAATCAATAATTAACCCGAATTTCGTGTTACGTATACCATTAGAATGTAAACCAAATTTAAAATAGCTCAGTGACAAGAAAACTAAAACGAAATACTCGTATGAATATTTCAGTGGCACAAGCAAATAAAAAAAGTTCTATTCAAAAAAATAAAAGTATAAATAAAAGTGTAAAAGTTCTCCCTTAATTACCAATAATATCTATCAATTTGAAGATTATCACTGAAATTTATTGAGGACAATACTTAAATTCTATACCTATCTTATTGAAAGATTCCACGCCTCCCGCCGTTCGAAACCATCCATCACGAGATTTAAAATCGCTACCAACGAAACGTCACTTCGTACGAACCGACATGTTCCCCTAATTGACATGCAAGTCCTCTAGGAACTGACCGATTTCTCAACAATACGCCGAGACTTCGTACCAACAATATTTTACCAGCAGACTTTTTCGCCGCTCGTACGTACGCGAATAGAGTAAAAACTCGCCAGCGTCAAGTATTAGAAACTCATCTTTTGCGCAATCTCTTGCACAAGTTACCGACTTTCATACCGTGACATAAGAGATAGAGGAGACAGAAAGGGGAGCAGTATCCTTTCGCACTTTTTCGAAACTTCCTTATCTTTTGTCTCCTCCTGATCTTTACGAGCATATTGTTACGCAAGAGATTTGCCCTTATTTCGTAGAAAGTTGACTGTTAGTTCTAATGTACTAGTAGGGAATTAATTTTTATCAAATTACATTAAAAGTATTTTTCAGGCAAAACTTTTGGTAGGATTTACATACATCTACACGCAAAATTTAGATCGTGGCTTGTTGCAACTTTTCAGATATACGATGGATTTTTATTATTTTCTTCAACAAAAGAATTGCAGGATTGTCGATGCTTAATGTAAATTAAATATTACAGGAAAATATAAACAAATTAATAAATATAAAATTAGGAATTCCTCTTTGCAAATAATAATAGAACAAAATAAAAATTTTCGGGGCTCCTTTAATCCTTTGAAATCTTTAATTATGAACGTCATTTCTGGCGTGGCAGACTATTTTAAAGTCACCTTTGACGTGATGTTTTATACAGCCAACGAAACAAAGTAGAAAATAAAGTTAAATTAGAGTCGGTTGACAACAAACTAAGAAAACTAGGAAATTATTTGTGCAAAGGGTTAAAGAACTACAAGCAAATTTAGTACACAATCTGGTATTAATCAGAGTTCCATGTGTTCAATTATCGAACCGTGTCCTTTCGAAGAATGAAAGCAATTGAAAAAAAACCGCGGAAGCTCGACGTTTTATCAGTCATTAAACCATCAGAGACAAAAGTGGCCGTCTAATAGACGAATCGTTTGAAATTCTATCGCCGAGAAGATTAATAGAGACGCGGGTTTAATCCGTTTCGATTCTTCGACACAGTTAGAGAAAGAGAGAGAGAGAGAGAGACAGGTCGTGTCGTAGACTTTCTTTAGGGTCAAAGTACATTCAATTACCCGGCTGCTGAATGTAGGAAGATCAAGCGAACGATCGCGGGAACGAGAATGCAAAGAATTACGCGAGAAAGTAGCGGCGAGAAATAGTGGAAAAATTCGCGATTGCAGTGATCGGTGCTTGAAATTAGCGGTTGAGTGTGTTCAACGAATGCGCGAACGTGAAATCGGATAACAGGGAACGCTCGCGAGAAAGGAGGAAAGGGGAGGGGGGGAAAAGGAAAAGAGAAAAAGAAACGAAACAACGGGGCCTAACAACCGTAAAATTGAAGAAATTATGCTCGCAGTGGGTCGTTTCCAGAAGGCTAACGGAGCCGAAACTCCGATATCGTTAGTCGAATTAGCCACCCTTCCGTGCGCGATATTATTTTCATTATCACGCTCGATTATGCCGCTTGCAATTAGCATTCGGCGAACCGGAATAACAGGCGAATGAAGCAGGTTCACGTTTATTGAAACATCCTTTGGTTTACAACGAGAGAATTTCTGGGTAAATTATTACGCAAAAATGGGGATGGTCATACTTTTTATATCTTGCAGGAGAAATAGTTCTTTAATTCGTCAGAATTTTCGGATTCTTCCCCGTGAAATCGTGGATCGAATGTTAAACATTTAAATAGTCAGAGACACTTTTGTACATTAGTTAACTTTACTTGAATTTGGAGATTGGTTGTGAAAAAGCAGTAAAAGTGAACAATTTCAGAACCAGTTAAGGGTTAAAACGAGTGAATGCAGAAAGATGTACATTTCCTTTCTTAATTACGTTACACTAAATACACAGAGTATTTTCAGCATTATAACACAAATCATTGATATTTATTTCACAGAATATATGACACACTCAACTAAGGGATGATTCCACGTAATTGTTGAAAAGTGTAGAGTGAAATTCTTCAGAACAAAATTTAACTGTATGAGACATTCGTGTTCGTTGAATCGAATGCTTCGATACTGACGAAATGTTCCCGACAGGGCAAGGTCGCATGAATCAATTGGGCGGCGTCTTCATCAACGGCCGGCCTCTCCCAAATCACATTCGCTTGAAAATCGTCGAAATGGCAGCGGCTGGGGTGCGTCCTTGCGTGATATCGCGGCAGCTCCGCGTTTCTCACGGCTGCGTATCGAAAATTTTGAACCGCTACCAGGAAACCGGTTCCATCAGGCCGGGCGTGATTGGCGGCAGCAAGCCGAGGGTAGCCACCCCTGAGATCGAGGCGAAGATCGAAGAAATGAAGAGGGACAATCCTGGGATCTTCTCGTGGGAGATCAGGGAGAAATTGGTGAAGGTAAGAGATGATTGATTTGACGACACGAGGGCGAAAAAAATTTGTTCTGTTACTTTACGTAGAGTCTTTAGTATATTATTTTCAACTAGACTGGAGTATTTATGCAAGATTTCTATGAAAGATTTTGTCTCTTTACTACGGATCGGTTCCTCAACCACTTGCGCTGGCAACTGATTGCGGACCATAACGAGGGACCAACACCGTATACAATAATTCGTCGCTTTCTTTATGAACTCGTCGATATGATATCGCTGGATAGAAATTATCGAGAAGTAATAAATTTATTATTTGTTTTACTTAAAACTGGGAAGATATTACAATTTTGAGAAGAAAGAAATTAAATATATCACTCTATTGTTAATCCACTAACATTCAGGCAAAAGTGTGGAAGACGTGATATTAATAATATTACGATGTTGTAACAAATAATTCACAATTGATATTGTTATAAATTAATTATAAGTTAAAAGTGAATGATAGTGATATTCGTACATCCTTAAAGGGAAGAGAAAAAATATATAATAGCCTGTCGTCAACGATAGAGATAACTCGAGAACACGCAACGCTCGGCGTCTCGGTATTCCGATTTCGCGGATCGACGTTTCCACGGTGGAAAAACGGGTTGAAAGGCGCGGGTTGTTCGACCTCTCGATCGGGGGTGGACGTTTCCGCAGGGTCCCTCTATCTCTCGAAAGATCGCGAGCGAGTGGGGCTTTTTAATCTTGTGCACGAGGCGTGCACGAGGTGGTCAGGGGTGTACGTGAGCGCCCCGAGGCGACTCGCGTGTCCTTTAATACGTTACTGCCCGCCGCCTACACCCACACCTCATTGGCGTAACGCTCCCTCGTTCGTGCCGCGATTTTCGAGTATGCAAAATACGACTTTTCCAAGAATAGCCTCCTCCGTGCGTCGGTGTTTTATCCGTACGAGCACCTTGAAAAATCGTAAGCACCGCCGCCGAACGACCGTGTTTCCATACTGAAACTTGGCGCGAGACGATCATTTTGCTCGGTGGATGATAGTGAGTAAGGAAAGAAAATTAAAGAAAAAAAGGAAGGAAAGGTGTAACGTGTAATAGAAAAGCGTGAATCGTGTCTGTGGTCCCTACGGTTTCGATCATTATCTTCGATGACCGTTGGTCACGAGTAATCGTTATATGTAGGTTGGTAACGTTTAGGAACAGTATTAATTCGATCTTAATTATGAATTCATCTTAATTAATAACCGAAAGTATAATTTCGTTGGTTTGATAGAATTTTGGTCCATCATTGAGAATGCCAATCAAAGATGTGTGTTCTCTCACAGAAAAAGACTGTTTCGTGTGATTGAAATCGTTCAGTAAATTTACAACGATGCTCGAAACATGCTTTTCGTAGCAACGGAACTGATAAAATTTCAAAATTAATAAATAATTGAAGAATGCTATATCGAAAGCGTAGAAAATAATTTTCTTGAATCAAGTGGTGATATTGAATGGCAGTATTTCCTAAATACAAGAACAATTGTTGCACCGTATCTTTTCCACAAAGCTTTCTGTCTGAACCCAATTTTAATTACCGACTGAAACCTCAGTCTACAAAATTTTATTCTTCAAAAATCTAATCATCAAACAAATCACTTGGAATTCTCGCATTTCCCGGATGTACTTGCAACCGAAGAGACGTCCGGAGCGTAACTCCTCCGACCTAAACTCCGTTGAGACCTGCGATCTGACGAGATATTCGGCTAGCGGTAGCATTCGCCCCGTGAAAGCAAAGAGCCGAAAAGGAAAAAGGGGCCAACCCGACGACGATCTCTCCCGCGACGAAGATAACGATCGCTGCAAAGTTCTCAATGCACGAGATCCTCCAAAAAAAAAAGAAGAAAGAGAGAAGAAGAGAAAGAAAAAAGGAAGAATTCCGTTTCGTAAAAACCAATAAAACCGATAGGACCAATCTGATCCACGCGGAAACCACGCGGTACGAACGACCTACGGCGATCGTCGATAGAGAGATAAATCCTTCGACGCTGAAAGAGGAGAGCTGTCCAGCCTGGTGCATAGGATCGTGGGGGCAAAGAAGCGAGAGAAGCAACGAAGGGACGAAGAAAGGAGACGCGTGCAGCCGAAGCGTAGTAGAGGCCGATGGACGGAGAGGCCGAAAGAGGCCGAAAGAGGAAAAGCGGTTTCGTGAACGCGTACGCCGTTGCAGAGCCGTGGAAGCAGGCGGTCGTGGCCGGCATTAATACGGCATTTAATGTTGGAAGGGGGCGTTCCTGGGCCCCGAGGACCCCGGGGCGACTTTCATCCTTCTTCATCCACCTTCGCGGAATGTTTCCTCTGCTCGTTTCTCGAAAGAGAGAGTAAGAGAGAGAGAGAGAGAGCTGGTATCTCTCGGCGCTGTCATCGCCCGGGACCTAAAGCCTCGGCCGCCACCAACGGGTACAAGGATCGTTATTGTTTCTGAGATCGCCGATCCGCAAGATAGCCATCGACACCGACGACCCCCTTTTTCGCTTCTTTCATCCTCCATCCCTTCTTACTTGGAAGTCCTCCTCTTCCCTTGGAAAGGATCTCCTCGTCGAACGTACAAGCCGAGGAAGAAACGCGAACAAGGCGAAAGATCTCTGCGACCATTGTTTATTCCAATTTTTCATCCCTCCTTGTTTATCACCTTGCCTTCCGAAAGAACTGTTTTGCTCTTTGAGAGCTCTGCCAAATTTTTCTAGAAAAAAATTCGTCGAATGTATTGCCATGATTGGCTCTGGCTCGTTGGTTCGTGAGAGAAACGACAGAGATTGAAAATTGAAAATTGTAAAAATAATTTAGAATCAGGTGGCTTCCGTGAGATCTTAATTTTCATCTTTTAAGATTCAGTTCTGTTTGTGACGTAAATTAAATACTTATTCTGAATAACTCGGTATATTCAACCGAATCGTAATTCGAACATAAATGATTTTGTAAAACTCGGTATGTTAAATTAAAATTTAATATCTCGCGAGTTACGTGTCCAAAAATCACGATCTCTGATCGATACTGTATCGCATGGGTTCCTTCACCTTAAGACACTCTAGCTTCTTTTCTTTCTCTTTTCTTTTCTTCTTTTTGGTTTGTCTGATGTTCCTTCCTCCCTTTATTTTGTTCTGCCACCACCGATTTCGCGGCTCTCCGTTAGATTCGCGGATTATCTCTCGGTTCGTCGATGAGATAAGAGAGATCGATAAGCGGAGATACGGCTCGGAGATTTTCACAGATTTTCTAGATGCCGCCGGCCACTGTAACACACGTGCGAGTATCGACGTTCGATTATGATGACGATGCTGAGCCGGTAGTAGGTCGGGATCTAGCGCTGGTCAGGCGATAGAGGCATTAAGGAACCAGAGATCGGGCAATGTTCCAAGTTAGCGATTGTAGGATGCGTCGACTGGAGAGGAGATCTGTCCGATAGCGGGAATTATGGAGATGTTTTCTGACGTTTTATTGATCTTTTTCGTTGCATGTCACGAGAATTCAAATGTTTATATTTTATACTATAAAATACGGAAGATCTTTGTCTACCAAAAATTTATTCTTTACTAATAGTGATCTATAACTTCATTGATGATTTAATTAACCACACATTACACGAACGTGAATTTTTGGAGCACAAGTAGATATTAACCTTGCTCCAATAAATCCAAAAAAAAATATTTATAGTTGAAGAAATTATAATTTAATTATCAGTCTAGTTATTGGATCTCCACGGTTTGTAAGTTTAATCTATAACAGGATTTCCACGTTTGTGTTGCCGAATTAATTGAAATTTTGGCAAATATATATCGTTACTAAATTATGAATTTTTATATAAAATTCAAAGTGCATAGAGTACAATTAATATACCGATATATATCTAAAATATGCAGAATGTAACATCTGTTAGTAAGTGTATAAAATAATTTTCTACTTTCCATCTTTCCAAATTCTATTTATAAAAATACTCTTAATCTTATATTGAAATGCTTAAATAAAAACGTATCGTGTATTTAGATCATTCGATTCGTGATCCAATGTGTTTCTTGTTTTATATCGATGAAAGTACACAATTTTATATAATAACTCAATCTGTTCGGCGAAGGAAAAATTTATAGACACAGAAATCGGGCAATTTCATACCGAGCTACTGTTACCTATTATAAAATCGGAGGCTCTGTAATTTGCGCCTCGCTTCATTCACGCCTCTGCTCCAGCAAAACCGTTTATCGACATTTATAGTCTATAAAACGTAATCACGGCCTGTATAAACGCGACGTTATTGAAGCATTGATCTCTCTCAAAATTAAACAGATTGAGTTTGCAAATACATATTCACGAACGCTCGTAAAACGATCATTAAGCACGATCGACTTCTGCCAATACTCGATATCGCCGATTTACGTCGAATAATTAGCCACTAGCTGATGCACGCCATCACTGCAAAATATCGAGTTGAAGTGCAGAGCTGGCGGATTAGTCGCAGAAATTTAAATTAGATAATGCCGCGTTTAGAAATGGAACTTTACTTTACTTTACTTACAACTTGTAACTTGTTAATTCAATAATGATACACCTAAATTATCTATAATCAAGATTATTAAATTAAATTACTACCTATATTATCTATAGACAACCTGTATCATTAAATTGCATTATCATCTGTATACAAGAAAGTTCAGATTCATTTCCAAATTCATTACCATCTTCTCAGACCTATTCATTCTACCAACTTTTTCGAGTAACATTTTTTAGTCTCTCGCATGCAAAAAAAAAAAAAATTCACGATCTATCCAACCGTGCCATCGAAGAATTCAAGCGTAGTAAATACTTGCGCCTAACGGTGCGCAGCGCGATGTGTAATAACGCAGAATCTCAGCGGCGCAAAATGTATATTTTGCTTTGAAAATGATCGCGCGAAATTGTAGTGCAGTAGGCTGCATTTGCAAATCGCAAATGCCAGGCAAAGTGCGACCCACGGCGCGCCGGCAGCGAGCTTGCATTGTTCTCGCGAATTAATAATCGAAATGAAATGAAAAAAAAAACAGGAAAAAAAGGAAATCTTAAACGTGGAATATTATACTATGTTGCACGTTGAATACACATTAACTGTATATTCAGGAACCCTAAGGGTAGTGAATAATTTTCTACGCACGATTTTTATTTTTTCCATAAAGTTTTCTATCGGATATTTTTTATTTTTTCCCGTTGAATTTCGTATATTTATTACATTATATTTTGTCTTTCAACAGGAAGGTTTCTCGGATCCTCCAAGTGTCAGCTCCATCAGCAGGTTACTTCGTGGAGGACGACCTGGTGATGATGGAAAGAAGGACTACACCATCGATGGTATATTGGGCGGTGGTGAGTACACTAATTAAAACTTATTTACAATTTACTTAGAATTTAATATACTCGCTTTTACACGAATGACAGTCGTGTCATGTGAATATTGAAGCATCAAAGACTTTACCTATCTCCTGCCTCATCTCCCTGCACACTCTCAGTCCACTAAAATGACATAAACATTCCAAGATCAAAAAACGTTTCTTCAAACTAACATTACCATCCATGTGTAATCTCTCCGCATAATCATCTCCATTTCCATTACAATTTCTATTCCTCTAAACTGAAATAATTTTATCAGAGTCTATGAAAATTAGAAAATAAACAAGACCCGCAAAAGAACGTCTCGCTGTTCGCGTATCTCCCCTGTCCGCCGACAGTCAAAACGATCTAATCTCCATTAGAACAATAAAGTTTTCCGATCGCGTAACTCAAAATCCAGCACGTCATCGTTGCACACGACGCCGAGCGAGGATCGCGCGTCATCGAGGCGTTAATTATTCATTCCGCCAGGGGGGAGGAGAGATGAAAAACGCGCGGATAGAAAGGTGGACGGCAGTGAACGATCGCGAGCAATAAAACGCGCGAAAAGAAAGACACGTGGTAGCGATGCGAGGCGATATCGCGAGGGTGAGAGGCGCAAAAAAAAAAAGAAGAAAAAAAAAAGAGTAAGAGAGCGTAAAAACACCGGCCGATCCATCGTCGGTGAGGGCATCAAGAGCTTTTAACCTCTCCGCTGTATCTACGAACGAAGTTTGACGTGCGCCGGTGCGTGTGTACGGGACTTTAAGCCCCGGTGCCCGCGTCGTCGGTTAGGGCAAGTTAGCCAAGAACGAGCCGGGGGAAGCCTTCAGGATTTAATCTTCGGTGGGCGTGAGCGGGATTAGCCAGGTTGCCCACACGTCCGACAAACGGATTACAGGAGTGTCAATATCTTACGGGGCGCGCATTATCCCTCTTCTCTTTCTTCTCTTCCTTTCGTCCTCGTCTCGTTCCTTTCGCCTCGCGTCCGTCTGCTCGTTTTTTCTCACTTTCGTTCGCGATCCGTGAATTCTCCTCCTCCCCCGAGAGAGAGAGAGTTCCTCCATTTTTTTCGTGACTTCCTTCTTGGAGTCCCGAAGCGCGGAGAGAGAGGAAACGCGCAGCGTGTTACGTGCGTGATGAACGAGGTGGCGGTGAATCGAGGATCTGTGAATTCAGGTCTTGAAAGTTGTTGCTTGTTTGTTTTTGCATTTTAGTAATCTCGATGCATTGTTGATACGAAACGTGACTTTTGACGTTGGTTCTCTTAAATTGGAGCATCCAAATGGCTATAGTTCACTCGTGAAAGATCGAACGATAGTACTTCTAAGTTTCCTGAAATTTCACAAAGATATAGAATTGCGGTATTCTTGGAAAAAGAATTTTTTCCCAAAAATGAAAAGTAGAATTTAATGATAAAATTCTAATTGTAGAAGGTTAGTAGAGAATTATAGAGGGTTAAATGCACAGGATCAGATAATTTGTAATTAGGATCATTGACTCTTAAAATTAATCAAAATCTCGAAAGAATTAAATAGCAGGCCCAATGGTCCCCGACTACGATTTTAGAAATACTGTACAAATTGTAACTTACGTTGCTTAAAATTTTGAAGCAACTTGTAGTTTTAGACAAACTTCTTCTGAAGAAATAGGTATGTCACAATTACAACTCCAGTCTTCAAATATAATTACCTAATTAAAGTTTCGCTATCACAGAAAAGAGTAACATTATAAATAAAATATTTACTTACTCGATGAAATCCCTTTAAAAAACCTAATGTGCTCCAAATTTTTTAACACACGCAGCGCACACGCGAATAATCAGTAGCATTCCAGAGAAAAACAGTAGAAACTCAAAATCCTCCATCAATGGACAATAAAAGAAAAAGAAAAGAAAGAGAGAAAAATTCGTCGACAAGTGCTCAAGCTACGATTTCAAGCGACAACGCGTCGCTGCCCGTTGACACGAGGCGGGAATTTGTTTTCGTGAGTGATACAGGTAGACAAGGAGGAATTAGCGGTACAGGTGTTCCGAAGTCTTAAAAGTTGGGACCGTCAGGCGCGTTGCCAAGAGGGGGGGGGGGGGGGGGAATAAAAGAACAAGAGAATCGAACACGTAGAGAGAAAGAGAGAGAGAAAGTCTCGTAAATAAAAATAGTCCGCGCGAGCGAGGGAGGAAACGGGAAGAAGAAGGCGAGAAGAGAAACGAAGAACGGCAGAAGGAGCAGAAACGAACGAGAAGGGAAGAGACGCGCGTATGTGCGTTTATTTTTAGAGAGGAAACAAGAGGGAAACGCGGGCCAGAGAGAGAGAGAGAGAGAGAGAGAGAGAGAGAGGTGGGCGAAGAACGGCTAGATCCTTCGATCGTGGATCTTGTGGAGAATGTGAGGAAAGAGGCGAGAAGCAGAGGGACCGTAGGGCCCTGCGAGGGTCCCGCGGAGATCAAACGGGCCGCCTGCCACACGTCGGCAGTGGTGCTCATTTACGGACCCCCGTGACACCTTGCGATACCTTGCCTTGCCAAGATGAATAACTTTCTCGACGTGCTGGCTTTCGACAGTCCCGAACAAGAGCGGCCCCTGAACCGAAAGACAATGGAATTTTTCTTTTCCCCCCGTTGAGATTAAGCGGTCGCGGGAAGGCTTCTTGGAAATAATCGCGAGCGATGATTATTTAATTGGTCTGACAATGAGATCTCTGGGAATCTTGGGGCAAACGTTTGATATTATCGTCGTTGGTGGAATTTTGTTTTAATTAGTTTGTTTCGGAATGGATTTCAATTTTATATTAAGGTTGATTAGGATATTTTGGATGGTTAACATCGGTTTCTGGCAGATATAATTATTGTTGCAGAAATTGTTAACGCCGATTTTTCTGATAGAATTTAAAACGTTTCAAATACGTAAAGTACTTCGGACAAAATCCGTAACTTACAATTTGATAGATTTGCAATTTGAATGATTTTCCTTAAAATTAAAATTCCACTTAAAATACTTCCAACGTAGCAGTAAATGGAAAGAAACTAACGAGATTGTTTGAATCGCCGCTGATATTGTAAGAGTAATCAACGTCGACGAAGAAGATCGATTAGAACATTAATTATTTAGAATATCAAAAATAGTTTTAAACTACACGCGACACGGAACGATTAATTAATACCACTATTCAAAATTTACTTTACACGTAATGCAGAATAACATAAGTAACAACTTCTTGTACACTATTTCTGTCACGATACAAAATCGGAGAAAATCGAACTTCACTCTCAATTCTAAATTTGCACGATGAAATTTTATTTACGTTGATTTTATTTTCGTATAATTGCCAATCGTGAGATAAAAAAACATTCATCTGGAACACACGATAGGAACGGATCACTGATTGACGCGTAATTACCCGAACGACACGAGTATCGGCGATGCCGTTGCAATTATTCGTCGAAGTATGTTAATTAAATGCAACGTCGGGAAAGATGGGAGCGTATGAACGTTAATAAAATGCGAAAGGGGACAGGTGTAAAGCCGTCGAGGGCTGTTCTTGACGCGTTCCTGAACGAAGTGTTGCGGGCCGCTTTAAAACCGAACCCCTCAATTAGAGATATCCATCGGCATAGAGACCGTGCTCAGGCATTCATCGATCCCGCAAATGACCGTCGTTAATGTTTAATACCTTTTAATTAAAAGTTAATCCATCAAACTTCTTCCTTGTAGATCGCGATCTCGCGCAGGTGAAACACTCGGTAATTATCACGTTTAATCATCGCCGGGGTTGAACGATCATTAGATCCGAATTACACCGCCTGCCCTTAAACAGGCACGTTCGATAGCAGGGGATTATCATCCGTCAATTTTAGATACCCTTGCTGGGTATTTATTTCCTTTTGTCTTCTTTTTTCTCGATTTCATCTCGGTCTGTATTGTTTTTTCACCGCTTGTCAACAAATTGTAACGAATTAAAGGAATAACTTGTTTGACGACGTGTGGCTTCAATTCTTAGATTATTTTATTAAAATTATACTTGATAGGTTAATTTCCATTTTTATGAGTTTTGTGTTACAACAACAACGCAATTTTCATTTCACGAAACATTAACAACGTTTGCACTTTGTCAATATCTGTAGCAAATGAATGATTCGCAACGATTAACGATCGTCAAGCTTTCAAGTAAATAAGTAAGTAATTGTAACGTAATGGAGTAGGTAGTTGTAATCAAGAAGCATTATCGATAAATCGTAGTTATTTACTCATGTGTAATGAGGAAACTAAGTCAAGAATCTCTGACAGCCACTAAAATCGTCTATGGATTAGCAAAACTAAAAGGTAGAAAAGCTATATCGTCAGTATCCTCTTTGTCAGTCGTCGAGTCGAGTCGTCACGTTTCACGTCAACGTTCCATCGCGTAACAGTAAATTTAGACGAAACTTTTAGAAAAACTCGCACTCAAATCTTACATCTCAAACTCTCCCTCGATTGTTACCTTTTAATTAAGCCACTATGCAGGATAGTAGGATAGTAATGCGAAGGATTAAAATTCAAATGAATTTTTCGCGAGTAGATTCACGACACGAGAGAAAGGACAATGGACGAATTCCATCGATGGAAATACGAGAAAGAGAGAGAGAGAGAGAGAGAGAGGAGTCGTGATAGGGAGCACCTCTGAGCGGATATACTCATATAGCTTGGCCACGAAGGCCCGAGTATAGGTGTCGGCAGGCGAGCAGGAATGACACGTAGCCTGTGGCTTTCTCATTCCTTCTTATTCCGTTCCTTTGGCCGAGGCCGCCGACGAGGGATTAGCCTAATGGGTCCTACCCACCCTCTCCTTCTCTCTGTCTCTGTCTCTCTTCCTCTCCGTCTTATACATACATATGCATATACACATTCTGATCCTTTACACCACCTCCGACCTCCTACGTAATCGGAATCAACCGGGGCCGATGAGCAACTTAGCCGCGCTAAGTGATTCACAATCAGATTTATTGATTGTATCGATGATCG